CCCCCCCCCCCCCCCCCCCCCCCCCTCGTTATCCAATCCCCAAGAAAAGGGGTGGCTCTGCCTCGAAAATAATTCTCCTTGGCCCTTTGCGCCTCAATTTGGCCTCAGAATAAGACTGGAACCCAGGCCCCTCCACCAGATCCGCCACTGCAGTCTTAGTCCTTTCATATATATTCATGATTTATGTTCTGTTGGATATTAAGACAATAACAAGAGGGTGACTGATGTTGGCGGAGTCCTAGTTTGTGTGAGCTCTGTTTGCTGGGATACAAAATAATGACAATTAATTCTATTTTGAGGTGAATTAGGCTACAGGAACACAGTGCATAGATGCTGGTTTAATTAGTATAGCCATTGCTCTTTTGACGTTCTCGTTACCGTCGCCCATCCGTGTAAAGTAAGGTAAGGTAAGGTAACGCCTTTGTACGTCTGTAAAGAGGGCAAACACGTGACAGTTATGATCAGACTGATAACCTTGTGGCTACGCCTAGACACAAATATCACGTAAAATCGCCCAATATCTTTCCGGAAATTCTCAAAAAAATTTCTAAATATCCAAAAAAAATTCTAAATATCTCGAGAACTCCTCGAAATATCTCGTATTTTTGTTTTAAAAATAAGCGATTTTGAATCTCTTAGGCCAAAATTTTCCCCTGCAGGAGCTGAAAAGTATGTTCAGGCTCATATATGTTTCCAGTATCCGCCATTTTGACAAATGGCTGCTAGTGTCTAGTGATATGGAATACATTATTCAAGTGGAAAACCGCTGAACTGGAAAAGCTGGAAAACAGCAAAAAAAGCTATAAATTTGTCCAAATATCTCAAAAGTTTCTAAATATCTCGGAAACTTCTAAATGTCTCAAAAAATATGCGGGTATTTGTGTCTAGGCCTACTTGTGGCCCTCTATAAAACATGAAGCAAAATTAATATTAAAATGATTTGACACTGTCATTATAACGAAATAAAAATTAATATTAATTGGCGCAATTTAAAAAACAAGTAAAAATAATATTTAAAACCTGTCTAGTCTTAGAAATTTTAACTATTTAAAAAATATTATATTAACTATCTTAAACAAGTTATTTTACAGACTTAATATTTAAAAGATATTATCTTTGGTTAAGTTCCTTATATCGGTGCCAGGAAAAATTGAACGAATGTCCCTGATTCAGCACTGTAAATTCAAAAGATCCGCCTCTGTCCCAAAATGCATGCAAATTTGGTCGTGCAGAACCAAATCTGGTTCAATCGCTCTTGAAGTCATTTACGCACAATTTGTACTCGCTCGTAACATCCCCGCCCGACAGATTCTGTAGGGAGCGAATTAGACTGTAATGGTGTACTGTATTCTCCTTTTCACCTAAACAAACGTACCAAATTTGAGGTGTAACAGAATCGTTTGAAGTTACAGTGCGTGGAACATTAGATCTCTTATATACATATCTAACACTACTGGAAATGCGTGGCTCTGTTTCAACGCCAAATGCCTCATGGAAGAAAATTCTGATGCAGTCTCGTGGAGAAGCCATCCAAGGCCAGCTTCAAGCAAGCCTTTCAGATCATTCACCCTTAGGGTGCAAATGAGCCCAAGGAAATTCGATTATTTCAATCGCTGTTTAAGTTGAGATCTCTGGAGCCTAAGGGATCTGACGCACGTCTCTGTATGCTGTACAAACAGAGTAATGGATTAGCCACTTACGAATGTGACAAGTTTCAGAGAGAACATAAGAGCAGAATGGACACCAGGCTCTCGTCTCTCAGTCATCGATTTGAACAGCCACGTAGTACATGTCATTATTATAAGAACTCTTTTTAAATTAGGACAATTGCACAGTGGAATAATCTCCCACCAGAAATCATAGCCTCTACTTCGTCATGTTCATTTAGGTAATTCGTGTGTAATCTTACATATTGATTAGTAATTTTGTTTTTGTCGTATTCATTGTTGTAATTTTTATTATTTAAAGCAGTCTGCAACACTCTGTTAAGAGTGAAGACTTAATGGCTAAATAAGTTAACCAACAAAATCAATTAAAATTCTTCTTAACAACAGCGAACTTATACTATATTACATACCCTATTTATTCAAGTGTATCATACCATTTTGTCCAAAAGAATAATTTGCAAGTCTAGTGAACTGAATTAAAACTACTTAAGCCCTCCTTTCAAGCCATCCAATACGCGCTGTGTTTTACTAACTTCTCGGTTACTGGCAGTAGTGCTTTCATGCTCTTTTCCGAACAATTTAATGCGTATGTCCAGCGCACGCTGATGAGATTGAAGAGCTGCTTTGAAATCACCCATCTTATGCTGTGTTATTCCCACGAAGTAGTAACAGTCAGCCGTACTTTGGTGTTTTTCTCCAAACACTTTAATACGTATGTCCAGCGCACGCTGTGTTGACTGCAGAGCTGCTTTGAAATCACCCATCTTATGCTGTGTTTTCCCCAGGGAGTAGTAACAGGCAGCCGTACTTTGGTGTTCTTCTCCAAACATTTCAATATCTATGTCCAGCACACGCTGTTTTGACTGCAGAGCTGATTTGAAATCACCCATCTTATGCTGTGTTATCCCCAGTTTGTAGTAACAGTCAGCCGTACTTTGGCGTTCTTCTCCAAACACTTTAATACTTATGTCCAGCGCACGCTGGAAAGATTGAAGAGCGGCTTTGAAATCACCTAGTTCACTCTGTGCTTTCCCTAGGGAGTAGTAACAGTCAGCCGTACTTTGGTGTTCTTCTCCAAACACTTTAATACGTATGTCCAGCCCACGCTGTGTTGACTGCAGAGCTGCTTTGAAATCACCCATCTTATGCTGTGTTATCCCCAGGGAGTAGTAACAGTCAGCCGTACTATGGGGTTCTTCTCCAAACACTTTAATACGTATGTCCAGCGCACGCTGTTTTGACTGCAGAGCTGCTTTGAAATCACCTAGATCATGCTGTGCTATCCCCAGGGAGTAGTAACAGTCAGCCGTACTTTGGTGTTCTTCTCCAAACACTTTAATATCTATGTCCAGGGAACGCTGTTTTGAGTGCAGAGCTGCAGAGAGGCAACTGAATATCAGATATTTGGTTTGGGTAATGAGAGCATATTTTTTAGTTGAGTCATTCGATACGAGTGTACAGGAAAAGGTAGCTATGTGATGATCGTGGGTTGAATTGGAGGAAGCTAAATTGGCCCCTGGAGTGTCGGAGTTTTCTGGTACTGAGTTTGGGATACATACCCTTCATTTCTGTTTTGAGATTTTTCAGGTTTTATGGGACCGCCAGCATAGCAACAATGTTAGGGATGCATAAAAAGAAGTAATTTACCTTACTGAAGCTGAAATTATAGCGAATTCAAATTGACTATGTATAGCGCAGATATAGCCGGTAACTCTGTGTGCAAAGTAATAATCAGCACTGGACGAAAGCTACCGCTGGGAATCTCAAACAAATGACTCACGAGCTATTTCTCCGGCCACGATTAAGACCCTCGCTGCACTTTGTATCTAGTGAAATCTCTAAATTACTGTCCTACCTTGGCAAGAGCATAAAAGGTGCCGGGACTTCTTTCAAGTCCAATACAATCATATTTACAGTTTTTGAGGTGGTTAAAATATTTTGCTTAGAATTTCAGTTACATTTTCAACTGGCAGATTAGCTCTATAAGCTTTGTTAATTGAGTTGCGCATTTTTTTTTTTACACTAGCTTTTAACTCACCTTCTTTCCTCGCCGACATACTAATCTCTTCTTTGTTATCACTGACGTCTTGCATAGGTTTGAGTTCATCTATTTTTCGTGCCAACATGGCGACGTCTTCTTTGCTAGCAATGTCGCTTTCCACTTTGTTCTTCAACTCTGCAATGTCTGAATTCACACCCTCAAGAAATTTTATGTACGATTTATTCTCTTCATTGATAGCCTGCTCAAGTCTGCGGACTTTACTTGTGGGAAAGTCTGACTCTAATAAACCACCAACAGCATCAATTGGAGCCGTCGAGACACCCAGCGCTTGGAACGCGTCTTTGGCGTGTTTCACGTACTGGTTAAAGGTCACTTTTGGCATCTCAGAACTTGTTGAGTGGCAAACGGAATTCCTCAGAAGGCGCAACTGATCAATTGCTAGTGCCCAGGTTTCCGCATTGTTTCCGGTCGTGCTTACTACGGACGGATGAAAATGACCATGTGATATTCCACGGGGCTTAACATACACGTCATTTAGCGTTCCGTGATGTACGGCAAACGCTCGCGAATAGATAGTGGCCTGGAACAAAGCAGTGCAATCCCATTCGTGATACGATCGAAGGACAGGAACTTTGGTTCTGCCACCTTCTGTATTGAAAAACAAATTTCTCACGGCAGGGGAATCATCCCAGCGATGGCGATGTCCATAGGTGTTGTCCCACATGGTTTTAAATGTCTGTCTCAGCGCGTTTGGAAATTCATTCAACACAAGAGACGCGAATTTGAAAAAATTTAAATCCACGTCCCGGTAAGGCTGCAGGGCCATCCCAGCGTAGAATTAAATTTGCTGTTAAAATAAAAAACAATCTTAGTAGTGTTGGGCTCCTGTCTTAGTTCACAAAAATTTATAGTTGCTAAAATATCTTTCCTTTTATTCTGGAAACCATTTCCTTGAATCCCGGATCAATTTTAGTAATTCAGATCGAATTACAAGAGCTTGAGTTTTGGTGAGGCAGCTGCATGCAATGCTGAAAAGCCAGGAAGGATTCAGTGTCATTTATAAATCTGATAGCCCTGCCGTTTGACAGAGTTAACTAGTTTAAATGAAGATATGATCGTCGCAGAGGTAATTGCAATTTAAACAATTGCAAATTAACCCGAAGAACAATTTTGGGACTTAAATCGGGGATTCGAACCATCGCCTCGGCGTTAGCGCTGCAGTGCTCCACCAATTGAGCTATGAAGACCCATACATTGGGAGCAGGCCATTTTGTTGAGTTCATCTTAACCCGTAAAAGGAATGAAACACGAAGATGATGTGAACTGCGGAAACACAAATTTAAATGAAGTTATGATTGTCGCAGTGGTAATTGAAAATAAACCTGAAAAAAAATTCGGGACTTCAACGGGATTAGAACCTATGGCTAGTGCGTTAAATTGCAATTACCACTGCGACGCTCATATTTTCATTTAAAAATTTGTACATCATCTTCATGACACATAACTGATTTTTTTCGATTTCCACCTTATCTTATTCACACGAAGAAGCCGAGTATGAATGAAAGCTTCATGTCTTAAATTGCCCAAAAATCAGACTTGCAAGAGAAAAGTAAACAGAAAAAGTGAATCGTTCCCTAAAGTGATGCGTGTACAATGTGACTAGATATTTAAAGTTGTCTAGTATCTTTTATTCCACAATATCGCATTTCAAAGTAGCTTTTCTGAAGCGTTTTTAAACTGGTCATGAACAAATATAAACAAAAGGACACATTAAATTCATATTTTCGAAAGTTTAATAGAATTATCATACGTTTTTCTTAACAAGCAATTCGGGTTTCACTTACCGCCACGTAAAGTAGTCCAGGCAAATATTTAATCAACTGTAGACAGAAACTCCTTGTGGGTTTCTGCTGTAGATCATTCTCTCTTGGCAAATTTCAAGTCTAAAATCTGTGATCGTTAAAGTAAACGGTATTTTCTCACAAGAGCCTTGGAAACTTGAAAATTCTTCAAGAGCTCCGTTAATTTCTTCTAATCAGTTCTTATTCTAAAGCAGTACAAAGGAATTCGCGATGAAATAGATATAGAAGAAGTAAAAAGTTTTGGTTGGATAAATGAGCATGCGCTGTGAGGCCCAATTAGCCAGATTATGGCGACGCTGGCGCAGAGTTTCCCAGAGCTTACGCCAACAATCATCGTAAGCACTGGGGTCGANAAAGTAAACAGAAAAAGTGAATCGTTCCCTAAAGTGATGCGTGTACAATGTGACTAGATATTTAAAGTTGTCTAGTATCTTTTATTCCACAATATCGCATTTCAAAGTAGCTTTTCTGAAGCGTTTTTAAACTGGTCATGAACAAATATAAACAAAAGGACACATTAAATTCATATTTTCGAAAGTTTAATAGAATTATCATACGTTTTTCTTAACAAGCAATTCGGGTTTCACTTACCGCCACGTAAAGTAGTCCAGGCAAATATTTAATCAACTGTAGACAGAAACTCCTTGTGGGTTTCTGCTGTAGATCATTCTCTCTTGGCAAATTTAAAGTCTAAAATCTGTGATCGTTAAAGTAAACGGTATTTTCTCACAAGAGCCTTGGAAACTTGAAAATTCTTCAAGGGCTCCGTTAATTTCTTCTAATCAGTTCTTATTCTGAAGCAGTACAAAGGAATTCGCGATGAAATAGATATAGAAGAAGTAAAAAGTTTTGGTTGGATAAATGAGCATGCGCTGTGAGGCCCAATTAGCCAGATTATGGCGACGCTGGCGCAGAGTTTCCCAGAGCTTACGCCAACAATCATCGTAAGCACTGGGGTCGAGTTTGGAATTGAACTTGTAGAACAACCGCTAAGAGCTGGAAAGGCCGGAGTAGCCAATACAAGTTACTTAAATATTAACCTTCAAGTCCCATTATATCCACATACAAATTCTCCAAACTGATCTTGTTTCCTTAAAAAATGAGTTGAGAAAATTTGACAAAAAGATCAAGGCATTTTCTCTTAAGTGATCATTTTATGAATTCCCATAACCCAATCTCTTGACAATGTATGGATATTGTTAGGAGAAAATTGATGTTGGTCACTATTGGGACTTAAAGGGTTAAGTAATGAATAATTAGTTTCAAATAACTTATGATAACTTCATGTCTATATCAGTTTTATAATATGGCATGGTGGTATTCGAGTGTGGTCATTGCCTACACTAAATACTTGGATATAATTATAGATCCAGTCTCATTTAATCCTCTCCAAAACCACTCCGCAGAACACTTTGCGTGCCACATTAAGCAGCACAACATCATGCCAGTTTTTGCAGCGTCTCAAGTCCGTAAACGAACGCGGGAGACGTCAAAACATCAATGAAGTTTTTCACATTATGGTTTTGTGGTTTGGGGTTTCCTTCACGACGAGAGACGAAAAAGAACTGGCAGCATCAATTTCTTCGAACTTTGTGTCACATACTTGTAAAATGAATATCAGTATTAAATAGCCTCATTTTCTTAGGCTCCACCTGAAAACGTTAGTCTAACTTATAAAAGTTATATAGCAGAGCTTACAAGCAGGAGTCTCCCACGCAACCGTTTTTGCCTCGTCACGACTGACAAAAACGACTGCCTGGGAGGAGAACCACTTTCCTCGCCCCAATCCTCTCGCCGGCTTTCGATGACTCCTCCGCCAAAAATTTTTCCCGAACTCGCACAAGTTAGTTTTATCGCAAGCTGAATTTAGGGTGATTGAACAGTACATATTACAACATCACACATTTTTATACTATCGCACAACTAGACTGCAAAACAGTCGGTTTTTTTCTCAAAATCAGTAAAGAAATCGGTAAAGCGTGGCGTCAGTCTTACGCGCGCGAAGGGAGAAAGGAAACTTTTTAACGTCTCTCCCCAGTCTCACTCTCCGTTTTCAGCCTCGTTCCAAACCTTCTGTTTGACTGCTCGCGTTTACTTGAATACGCAAAAAATACGGACTGTTTTGCAGTCTATTGCACAACAACGATTTCTTTAACCTTCACTCAACTCCACAAGCCGTATACATTTTTTTCAGTCGACCGTGAAAAGTATACTTCAGTTTTATTATTCCATTATTCCCAAGACTTTTGTTACAAAAGCATTTAAGTTCAATTCAAGTCGAAAATTTTCGTTATTCTTAACCATTATTCCTCTTCAGCCCCCGCTAAGCCTAAATTTTGCAATCCATACGTTTCTTGTCTTCGTCCATAGCCGGCAAAATACAATCCTATGCAACTTTTATGAACGCGTTATTTCATGGTATTTTAGGAATGTTTTCATTGTTATCAATATATCTTTTTGTTTGTGTCAATTTCTCGTACAAAACACTGTCCCTTTTGAGAAATTAAACACAATTTAAATTTACTTTTCAAACCTTTAGCAAACTCTGATTAGAAATGACATTAAACTTGAACAACGTCATATTAAGAACACCTACAATGAATTCTATTATTGCGGGCATCACAATAGAGTTGCGGATAATATTTTATCTTCAAAGTTAAGAAATAAGGTAAAGGAAAGAAGACAGCAAATACTAAATTGTCAAGAAGGAAAAGAACAGGTATTTACTGAAAATCAGCGAATTGTTGGAGAGGGCAGAAAGTCCATCTTCAATGGTTAAAAATTAAATTCCACGGTTGGTTGAGTAAGCTTAACTAGCTTAAAACCCATTTACGGGGACCATATGGAATAAAGGGCTTTCCAGTTCCAAATTATAAGATGTCCTTTGATTTTTGAGAGTTTTTGGAAAGGGAACTCGATTGACCTCACCCGATAGTAGACAGTTAACCCAAAGGAATTAGTCGAGCGAGAAAAATCACCGTGCCTATATCTCATAAAATAGCATTCGGCAAACTGGCGATCATACAAAAATATATCATAAAATTACCTCGATTCCTCAAACTCCTGCTACTTTCAAGGACACAGTGACTAGAACAGGTAACAACAGAACTGGAAATCTCTCAAATTTCTGGGTTATACTTCTAGTCGACTTTCGTTTACAGATGTCGTGCCACCGTAACTTCCGCTTATAAGTCCCTCCGCCCCCTACTTATAAACCCCCCAGTAATAGTCCCATCTACCTGTAAGCAAAAAAACCCATCCCATCATCAGGTGATTACACAGTAACCATTGACTGCCTTTGGTATATACAATAGTCAGAAACTTTGCATGCCTTCCATTTTAAAACTGGAAAAATAAATTATAATGTTACAGTTGGGTAACTGAATTTGCGCCCGTTCGATTCGCTAACCATTGATTATTCTGTGGGTAAACCTTTTCATAGTTTTTATTAAAATAAAAACTACGAGATTGCTGAAACGTGATTTTTTGATGAAGTTAAATTTTAACAATGAAAAAAACACCACACCGTGGACACCCTTCTTCTTCTTCTTTTGTGACGTTTCCTTGGCCTGCCTGTTCTACTTTTATATGTTAGGGATCGACATCAAAAGAATACTAAGATGCTAAAACCTAATACTAAAAAATGCAATAATTATAAATCTAAAGTGAAAATTGATGTCTAGCTAATTATACTGTAATTTCGAGTAATATATCAAGCATAAGACACAGTGTTTCATCACCAGTTGAAACACTGAGAAGAGAGTTGAAAATACCTACGTCAGTGGATATTTTTGATGAACTTCGAAGTGTAAAATGTAGTAGTAAAATGACGTCATCATGCAAATGGTCTATTGCAATTACCGCTGCGACGATCATATATCTTCATTTCAATTTGTATTTCCACAGTTCACCATCGTCAGTGTTCACTGCTGTTTACGGACTGACAGAGGTCCTTAATGTAAAGTATGAATACGACAGGTTCTAGAATGGACCCTTTTGGAACAACCACTAAGAGCGGGAAATTGCAGAGCGTAGCCAATACAAGTTACTTCAATATTAAGTAATGAATAATAAGTATTGAATAATTTATGATAACTTCATGTTTATATTAGTTTTATAATATGGCATGGTGTTATTCGAGTGTGGTCATTGCCTGCACAAAAATTTTGGATATCATTATACATCCAGTCCCGTTTTAATCCTCTCCAAAATAACTCTGCACAACACTTGGTGTGCCACGTTAAAGTAGCAACGCCAGTTTTTGCCGCCGCCCAGGTCGCCAAACGAACACGGGAGACGTCAATGAAGATTTTTACACGGTTGATTTGCGTTTCTTTCACGCCGAGAGATGAAAAAGACTGGCAGCATAGACTTCTTCGAACTTTGTGTCACATACATATAAGTAATATCAAACAGACTAATTTCAGGTAATTTATTCGACACCACCTGAAAACGTTAGTCTAACTTAAAGCAGGAGTCTCCCACGCAACCGTTTTTGCCTCGTCACGATTGACAAAAACGATTGCGTGGGAGGAGAACCACTTTCCTCTTGCCAATTCAGTCTCGCCGGCTTTGCCGGCTTGCGCTGACAGCTCCGCCGCCAAAAATGTTCCACGCACTCTCACAAGTTACACTGCTCGCAAGCTGAAGTTAGGGTGATTGAACGGCACACATTACAACATCACAGATTTTTACACTATTGCACAACATGGATTTCTTTGATCTTTATCAACTTTACATTAAGCTATATTTTTTCAGAAGCCATTTTTTTCAGTCGACCGTGAAAAGGCATACTTGGGTTTTTATTATTCCATTATCTCCAAAACTTTTGTCATAACAGGATCCAACAGCATGTAAGTTCAATTCAAGTCGAAAATTTTCGTTATTCGTAACCATTATTCCTCTTCAGTCCCCGCTAAGCCTAAATTTTGCAATCCATACGTTTCTTGTCTTCGTCCATGGCCGGCAAAATACAATCCTATGCAACTTTTATGAACGCGGCGTTTCAAGGTATTTGAGGAATGTTTTCATTGTTATCATTATATCTTTTTGTTTGTGTCTATTTCTCGTACAAAACACTGTCCCTGTTGAGAAATTAAACACAATTTAACTTTTTCTTTCCAAAACTTTAGCAAACTCTGATTAGAAATGACATTAAACTTGAGCAACGTCATATTAAGATTACCTTCGATGAATTCTATTATTGCGGGCATCACAATAGAGTTGCGATAATACTTTATCTTCAAAGGTAAGAAATGAGGTAAAGGAAAGAAGACAGCAAATACTAACTCGTCAAGAAGGAAAAGAACAGGTGTTTGCTGAAAATCAGCGAATTGTTGGAGCAGGCAAAAAGTCTATCTACAATTGTAAAAATTTGATTCCACGGTTGGTTGAGTCAGCGGACAACCTCAGCTTAACTAACTTAAAACCCATTTACGGCGGTCATATGGAATAAAGGGCTTTTCAGTTCCAAATTATAAGATGTCCTTTGATTTTTGCGTGTTTATGGCAAGGGAACTCGAATGAACTCACCGAGAGTAGACAATTATCCCAAAGGAATTAATCGAGCGAGCCCAGATAAAATCACAGCGCCTACATCTCATAAAATAGCATTCGACAAACTGGCGATCACACAAAAATATATCATAAAATTACCTCGATTCCTCAAACTCCTGCTACTTTCAAGGACACAGTGATTAGACCAGGTAACTGACAGGACTGGAAATCTCTCAAATTTCTGGGTTATACTTCGGGCACGCCATCTGAAAACGAAAGTCGACCACCGTAAACTTCCGCTTATAAGCCCCCCCCCCCCCCCCCCCCCCCCCCCCCCCCCCCCCCCCTTCCCCCCCCTGCCCAAATATCTTTGTTGTTTTTTATTTTTTTTTTTAATTCCCACATAAAAAAAATAAAAAAAAAAAAAAAAAAAAATATGATGAGTAAATTAAAGAAATTAAAAACACACATACAAATTTTATCACATTTAAAACACAACTACCATAATATTATATACAAAACCCCCCCCCCCCCCTCCCCCTTATAAACCCCCCAGGTTTTGCTCTCTTGTGCAAATTAAGGCTTTTGTTATTTAGACCTCAATTAGACTACCAAATTTAAATATGAAAGAAAAACGAAATGAATTTTGGTCTGGGTAGTTGTAAAAAAGTCATCCTGCAAATGGCATATTGTCCAATAGACTTCACGAGTTTAATCATGTGTAAGGACCTCAGTTATTCAACAAACTGAAAAGTCACGAGAGGGCTTTGATTGCGACTGCTCTTTAGTGCGACACGGTTTATTAGAGATTGCGATAGGCGTTACAAAGTGCGATGATTATTACAAACTGCGACAGTACAGAGCCTGTAAGCAGGCTAACTAGGGAACTAGACTGATCAATCAAGGATTCAATCTGCTCAATGTAAGCTACTCTGGTTTTTGTAGGGAAAGCCCGCAAAGCTCTTTAGCTATTTGCCGTTTTTAAACCCGAGGTTTACAAGTTGTAGACAGATCCGAGCCAATGCTGGGTTGTAGAGGCGGAAGATGACGAACAGCGATGGGCGGAGTTGGTGGTATTTAATCGGTATTGTCCAAAATTGTTTTTGCTCCCATTTACACCAGGGGAGCCATCGAGGTCGCAGCCGAATTCTGTTTTACTCTTGTAGCTGTTAATGGTGCAAGAGCTAAAGTTTCCCTGCTTTGTTGCTGCTGTGCAGTTTTCACAACTGATGCCCGTCACCTGATGTTTATGTACTCATAATGAAGACACTGATACGAAAATGACCGAAAAAGTCGTTATTTTTCAGCTTGGCGCGCGCGTAATCTGTTTTTTAAGGCCGTAGGTGGGCAAGTTACAGGTTGCTTGCAATTGTGTAGAGTGGTCAGCCAAAGATTGCATCTGTAACAACGGCATTCTACTGACATCGTCCAATCGACTCCACTGCCAGAGCTGCTGGACTCAACACTCATACTACTCCGGGAGACAAAATTCAATGGAAGATTTATTCCGAATCGTTGTCCTCTGAAAATGTCAGTGTTTTCCAAGGAAAACGATAGCCTGCGTGGCAGGCATTTGAAAGGGATGGGAAAGGGAGTTTTAGGCTCCTCCCTCGCGTGTGGTCTCGTGCCCTAATTCCCTTCCCTTCCCTTTCGAACGCCTGCCACGCAGGCTAGGAAAACGACTGAACCAGTGTCCATATAAATCCAGGTTCAGAATCCATGTCACAGAAAACAGAAAACTCTTGGTTTGTGAAGTCGTAGACGACGTGCTTTCAAATAAAATAAAACAGTGGCATGAATTTGCCAAATTTTAAATAAATAACTTTTTTCTCTTATACTTACTTAGCTTCTTTTTTTTTAGCGGCTCCCAACTTTTAACAAGGCCGCTCCAATCGTCAGCAACGCTTCCAACTGACTGTAGCTCAGAGCCCTGTGACAGACTAAGGCTTTACTCCCATGAAAATCATTACGTTATCTTTCTGATTCGTCCTGGGAGAAGGACTACCCATAATCCCTCTCGCAGCCGTTTTTTGGATGTCACGCAACGCTCTACCCATAGACATAATTGCGCTTGTCATTGCGCTTCTATTGCTTTGAAGGGTATGTCTGTTTCTTCATTTAACAAAAAGTTTGAATCTAAACGTTACTTTTCATTTATCAGCAGATATTTTCTTCAGCATTTTTCGCAAGGCTTTTGAAATCTTGAATAAGTTAAACGGGGTATTTATCTTTTAGCACAAGTTTGTTTTGGGGTGGTAAAAACACGATTAAAGTAATAAATTGGGTGAAACAAATGCATTCTTTTTTGTCGGGATTACGGACATGGTAAAGCACTCCTAACTAACATTGTAATTAAAGCACCCGCTTCCCACATTCGCCACCACTCGGATTTTGTTGTTGCTGCAATACCACTTTTTTTTTTTACACGAAAATAAGGAAGACTTTGCACAGCAACACTTACGTAAATTAAGGCTTACAGTTGTTGTTTGTTCGTTTGTTTTTTAACGTTAGAACTCCCAGCAGAGATATTTAAATATCGCCTGGTTCGATGGGATAATATTTATCGGTGAATTTTTTTGATTTTAATCAAAAAAATTCAAATAATAATTTATTTACTATATTTAAAAATATAGTTTGAATAAGTTTTCCCAGTTTTTATTATTTGAGTTTTTCTTTAGCCTTCTTTAGATTAAACGCAAGAAGATCAAGTGAAATTAAAATTCAAACTTTATTATTAAAACAAAATATATGCACATTCAAGTTTAATTTACGCAAACTCTCTCTCTGTTTTAATTTCTTTTTTCAAACATCTTTTGGAAGTGGACCAACTCTCCCCTAGTTTTAAAAACTGCAAAATTTTAACTCTTAATGATAACGACCTCTGCTGTTTAAGAATAAAAGTCAACTATTGTATACTCTGGCTTGGTACGTTCTGTTCTGTATCTCTTACTTAAAACTCATAACAAGTTGCGAGAAGAGGATCCTTCATCGTTGGTCAGTGGTAGTGTGAGCTGTAGGGAGGACTCTGCTACTGAGCGCTGGACATCGATGAAAAAGCTAGTTTGACGGTGAAGATAGTTTTGGCACCTAAAGAAGAAAAAATGACAATGACAAGGTATCAAAGGGTCCCCAATAGGATTCTTCAATCCCGTGATCCCGACCCACGATTTCGTGCAATCTCGTAATCGCAAGGGATACTTCGGACATTCTAACTCGCACGCACACTTTCAATCCCGAATCCCGAGCTTCAAACAAGAGAAATCCCGGATCCCGTTCAACCTGAGGACCCTCGTATTAGAAGAGATGTTTGTATCGTCAGTGACACAGGACGCTCGGAAAAATAATTCGAATACTCCCCAACAGGAGTCGACCCTATGACCTTCTGGTTTCTGGTCTACATGCTGCACCACTGAGCTACAACTAAAGCCACTAAACTAAGTTCATGTGACAAACATCCTGTATACTGCTAGGACTAGAATGTCGATATTTGCTGAGGATATTACCTATCATGGGCAGCGTAATCTACCATGAATGCGGCAAATAACTATTATTTAGGAGCCCACAGGTGCTGGCATGGCAGTCAATAAATTCCACGCGGATTTTGTTTTCATACGCGCGCTCCTGGTAATAAACTGAAGGCCTAACCGAAACATCAAAAACCTTTCACAACAGTTATGAAATATTTAGATTTTGCCAAGCCTACAAGCGGTGCTTTCTTTTGATCTGTACTATTAACTCCTTATCGCTGTGAACAGGTCAGTTAACAAGTGACTGCCCTTCATTTAGCGACCAGTTACCACAGTCCCAGCGGAAAATGATTCTTTCATTTCTTTAAACGATATGCTTCGATAAAGAGATCGAGAAGCGTACGTGAAAATCACAGGTGCGTATGTGCGTGTGCGTGAGTCACGTGGCAACATATAACAACAGTGATACCTGCATCACGGATGACGTAATGATTACAGGCTGCGAGGGCGTTAAGGGCCTGGGAAGGATCAGCCCACTCCAGATGACCTGAAGCTGACCGAGAGGCTGAAACCAAAACATGACAGAGATGCTAGAATTGGACAGTATAGCTCCGAGCGCGTTCATGAAAATGCTGAAAGAAAAGGTATAAAAACAACAGAACTCACCGTTAGGGAACACTTTTACTCTGACTGGGGGATCAACGCTACAATTAAAGCACATCTAAGAACGAAAATAATAAGTCTGAGTCAAATCAGTCGTGGTTATCAATCTCAAAAACACCCTTTGTACTACGGTACTCCCCAATAACAAGAAACTCAACCAGGCGGAAAAGTTAGTTTTTGTGGACGAAAATTAAACAAATCTTTCAAAAATTATTGCTCTGCGCTCTGACAGTTGTGGAGAAAAAGGGCGAAACAAAATTATATCACACTTATGGATCATTGTACCTTTCTGGGAAACTGCAAAGTGAAGCTGCCCACCTACCCCTCTCTAACACTTACTTCTCACTTAGGGCAACATGTTGGCTTAGGGGAGGGGTAGGTGGGCAGTTTCCCAGATCTCAGTTCGAATAAAACGGAAAGTTACACCTTGGACATTATTTCAAAGGGGGATAAACAAACTATAAAACTGCTACGTGTATGCCAGCATTTTCTTGAGCAAAAATGCAAATCATTATTTGAGTTCTGATGCGCAGAATTTATTTGCGATTAAGGAGATCATAGCACATCTGAGGTGGTAAGCAAAAAATTCAACCTTTTCCACGTTGCCAATGTTAGTGCTCAAGTTTGAGTTGGCATTACTGCTAACGCTTACGCTAATATAATATTAATCAATGGCAATTTCACTGTTCATCAAAACAGATGCCAATGATAACCCTAAATATATCTTGGTAACAAGCCATACCTCATTAACCTTTTCGGACGAGAAGTCAGTTGGTGCGTTGAAAAAGTGCAAAACCTGTTATACCGTGTAAATCGGCCTTTAGACATCAATTAACAAGAAAAACAAAGTCTAGTCATATACCGTAACCTTCCACTTATAAGCTCCTCCCTTATCAGCCCTCCCAGGCAGTTATAGAGGATAACGGGCCCATAAACCTGAAAACAAAAAAAGCAACATCCGGTTATACCCCCCATCCCTCCTGTCGAATGTAAGCCCCCATCTTGCTTGTACTGAAATTAAATGAATTCGATTTTTTTGCGAGGTTTTGAAGCTTAAAAAAGGCGAGTAAATTCAACGAGTATTTTGATCAGCACTGCTTTGTTGCTTGTTTTAAAAGGTTTTGTTTAGTCCAGATATAGGCTCCCTATTTATAAGCCCTCCTAGCCCTTACAAAGTTGTATAAGCCCGGGGAGTATAATTGGATGTTTAAGGTATTCATTGGAGTACATTTTAACACTCATCTTTTTCGGACTGAGGATCCGTAGCTTGTATGATAATGTGTCTGACACAAAGGAAAGTTTCAACCAAGAGTTTAATTGAACCACATCAATTTATGAGACATTTGTTAAATTTTTAAGCAGTTGTTTGTGTTACTTCTATCACAAAGCAAAGTTTGGATTCAAAGCAACTCACCCCAGAGAGAACATGTCCCTGGAGGGCTACATTAACAGTATCGATTAAATAAGTAAGTCAGTAATGACTAAGTAAGAATTTTTTTCTATCCTGTGAATTGAACCTTCGTTTTATTCTAAATATCATTGTGACAGGATTAAGCAAATCTCTCTTCGCTAATATTATAGTTTAATGTTATTAGTTTCGTTTTTATAAGTACCTCATTCAGTCTCTTGCACAGGTAGTTTTCAATTATTAAGAGAGTGTCTCTGTAAGAGCGGTCCGGTCGATTTTGCTTGAGACACAGATTTAGCTCATTTCTTGTGTGTTGTAAGACATTCATGTACCTATACTAAAACCACAATCCGTTTGATCGGATCTCTTAAAGAGATCCGATCAAACGGATTGTGGTTTTAGTATAGGTACATGAATGTCTTACAACACACAGGAAATGAGCTAAATCTGTGTCTTAAGCAAAATCGACCGGACCGCTCTTACAGAGACACTCTCTTAAATATCAAACAAACATATTTGCTGGGTTAGATATTTGTATTCTTGGCTTTTCTTAGTTGATAATTTTAAGAATCTTATCATATTATGTTTCCCCAGAATCATGCCATAGCCCCTCGCTATATTCCCTGCAGCGAATGCGGAGTCTGTTTTATAATCACCCTGTCCACCGTTCTGCTCCGCTCAAAAGGGATACACTTTTCAGGCTTGAGGTGTATAAAGGGATCTGTAGACTACGAACAGTCTTTCTTTTTTCTTAATCCGTCCAGCGACACACGCGATACACGCAAATGACCCCGCGCGTGACTGAAGGCGCTTGACGCTCGCGCGCGAGTGCACTCCCCTCCCCTGAAGAAAAAGAGGGACTGCTCGCAGTCTACGGGGTCTGGGAAAGAGTGGGGGAAATCTATCATTTAGGTAATTGAAAAGCAGTTGGTTGAAATATTTTGTACAGATGCATCTTATGCGGCTGTAAAATTAAAAAGGACCTCCTTATTTACATCTGGTGCTCGAGTGTGACAGGGGTAAAATTTGTCATTAGAAGGTCTACGGAAAGAGTACTTTGCTATCAAAACTGACGAACAAAGCTCGTAAAGAATGGGACCTAGGGGTACAGCCTTCCTCATATAAAGCGTCAATAAACTTTATTGAGTACCCCATTGAGAATGGACAGGGAATTAAAATGAGTCAGTCTTCTATCTTTTAATATTTGGTAATAACATCGATCCCGAAGGTGTAAAATGTAAGTAGATGCATGGAAACTTGTTTCATTGTTTTTCCAGCGCCACACAGTATGATGAAACTGATCATATCGTAAATGATTTTCATTGAATTGCTTTGGTTCCCACACGGATAAATATCTTTCTCGACTGAATGACTGAGCCTACATATGTAAACAAACTAAAACGTACCAAAGATATCAAGTTAACGACAAAACTTGCCACAAAAAATCTAAATTCTATTACACAAATCGTCAACAACTGACACCGTGGTCTATCATCGTTTTCACTGTCACGCAACAAAAAATTAAATTGGAAACCGTCCAGGGGAAGACGCCAAGAAAATGAAATGTTATGAAAGACTGATATATATAAACAATTTTTTCAAGTCTCAGGTCTTTGTGGCCCATAGTTTCTGAGGTATTTGCCGAAACGTTTCACGCACCTTTGTAGAGCTTTGTATGGAGACGCCATATTGGTGCACCGTTTTGGTGCACCAATATGGCCGCCGGAAATCAACAAAAACATCTGGACTTCCCTTTTTCTATAAAAGCTCTTTCTTTTCTCTCGAGAACTAACATACGTGCGTATAAACATATCTTCTAATACTTGAAGTGGTTATACCGCTGAAAATCAAGAGGAGAGACTTTTTTTCAACGAGACAACATTCCTATTTTGGTGTCACGCGCTGTGAAAACTCCGAAGTTCAAATTGCTGTCTTTTCGAAATTAAACATGCTACGGAAATGGAAAATTTTACAAAGATTTACTTTTTGTTTATCTTCAACCTACTGTAAATAACAATTCGTAAAACTTCGCTATTTTGACTTTACAATTTGATGACGTCACAGTGAAAACCATATATTCTCCTATCGACCATCATGATATGACGTCAAAATCTTCAAATATCAAGTGGAACCACGAGCCGAGGAAGAGTGGATCCACTGCTAAGTATTGATCAACAGGATAAGGCCTTGGTTCAAAATTCTACTGCTAAAAACCTTCTGACTCACACAATGAGAGATACAAATACAGCTTATTCCTTGACATAACTTTTCTAATACGGCCATGACTATCATGATTTAGTGTATTGTCTCGACAGTATGATTTTGTCACAATATATAATGTAATTTGGATGTGTAAGGCAAATTGAAATAACTAACGCCCTTCTTTGAATGACCACTCAAATGTAAGCTACGTTTCTCCAATTCACGGTCACTGTCCAGGTGATAAGAATGAACAGCGGATTTAAAGTCACCTGGTTTAAGCTTTGTTATCCGCCCTACCCCAAAGTAAAGTCCCGTGCAACGAACGCAACATTGCTGGCCAAGACTCTCACCATTGTTGGGAATTCTTGCGTCCGTCAGCACGTGAGCTAAAAGTTTGACCGGTTTCAAACTTTCTGCATCAACTCCCAACAACATGCAACAACATGCAACAGGGTGTGCCAACATTTTTGTCATAATGCTGGAATTTGTTGGCCAACAATGTTGCGTTCGTTTGCACGGGGCTTAACAATCAGCAGTACTCTTAATGTTGTGCTCCCCAGAAAATAAAGTACATAATCCCCAGTGCCATTGTTGTGAGTAAAAAAAGCTGCAGTGAAATGAGCAACCCAGCTGTGTTCTCCCCAGTACAGTGGCTGTCATTAGTAAAAATCCGCAGTGTTCTTCTCCGAGTGTAATACATATATGTGTCAAAGGCTGTTATGACAAAAGGGCTGCCTTGAGCCTCTAATAGTTAGGTCTTCTTTTCCACCCAGTTAATTACGTACGTACATCGTGTATACGGCTGCAGTTATCGTCCAGGTCGTAGTAACAGTTAGCAGCACTTTGGTGGTTCTTCTCCAAAACGTTGAATACCTTTATCAAGCGCAAGCTGTTTTGACTCAAGAGCTGCACTGTAATCCTCAAGCTTTTGTTATGTTATATTTAATGTGTACTAAAAGTCAGCAGTAATTTTGTATTCCTGTCCAGACATTATATGTTTATCCAGTGCACGGTGCATTTTCGACAGAAGCTGTTCATGAAATTCCCTATCTGGTCCCTAGCTTATGTTCTGTAACTCAACGTTTTAACGGTTAAGTGACATTCAAGAAGTACTTTGCTGATCTCCGCTCAGTTTATTACGCATGTCCCGCTCATGTTGTCTTGCTGAACAACTGCCTTGAAATCATCTAGCCTACACTTAGCACTACGTTGGTGTTCTTCTCCAAACAGTTTAATTCGTATGTCCAGGGCGCGCTGGAAAGATTGTAGAGCTGCTTTGAAATCACCCTGTTTACGCTGTGTTACCCCCAGTGAGTAGTAACAGTCAGCAGTACTTTGGTGTTCCTCTCCAAACAGTTTAATACTTATATCCAGAGCATGCTGGAAATGTTGAAGAGCCTCTTTAAAATCACATTGTTTACACTGAGTTATCCCCAGATTGAAGTAACAGTCACCAGTACTTTGGTGTTCTTCTCCAAACAGTTTAATACGTATGTCCACGGCGTGCTGGTAAGACTGAATAGCCTCTTTCAAATCACCTTGTTTACACTGAGTTATCCCCAGATTGAAGTAACAGTCAGCAGTACTCTGGTGTTCTTCTCCAAACAGTTTAATACGTATGCCCAGGGCAACCTGGAAAGATTGAAGAGCCTCTTTCAAATCTCCTTGTTTACACTGAGTTATCCCCAGATAGAAGTAACAGTCAGCTGTACTTTGGTGTTCTTCTCCAAACAGTTTAATACGTATGACCACGGCATGCTGGAAAGAATGAATAGCCTCTTTGAAACCACCTTGTTCATCCTGAGTTATCCCCAGATTGAAGTAACAGTCAGCAGTACTTTGGTGTTCTTCTCCAAACAGTTTAATACGTATGTCCAGCGCACACTGAAGAGATTGAAAAGCTGCTTTGAAATCACCTAGTTCTCTCTGTGTTATCCCCAGTGAGTAGTAACAGTCAGCAGTACTTTGGTGTTCTTCTCCAAAGAGTTTAATACGTATGTCCAGCGCACGCTGAAGAGATTGAAGAGCTGCTTTAAGTTCATCTGTTTGGGTCGTTCCCATTTCGTAGTAACAGTCAGCAGTACTTTGGTGTTCTTCTCCAAACAGTTTAATACGTATGTCCAGCGCACACTGAAGAGATTGAAGAGCTGCTTTGGAATCACCTAGTTCACGCTGTGTTATCCCCAGTGAGTAGTAACAGTCAGTAGTACTATGGTGTTCTTCTCCAATCAGTTTAATACGTATGTCCAACGCACACTGAAGAGATTGAAGAGCTGCTTTGAAATCACCTGTTTCACGTTGTGTTATCCCCAGTGAGTAGTAACAGTCAGCAGTACTTTGGTGTTCTTCTCCAAACAGTTTAATACGTATGTCCAGCGCACACTGAAGAGATTGAACAGCTGCCTTGAAATCACCTAGTTCACGCTGTGTTATCCCCAGTGAGTAGTAACAGTCAGCAGTACTTTGGTGTTCTTCTCCAAACAGTTTAATACGTATGTCCAGCGCACGCTGAAGAGATTGAAGAGCTGCTTTCAAATCACTTAGGATATGCTGTGTTATCCCCAGTGAGTGGTAACAGTCAGGAGTACTTTGATGTTCTTCTCCAAACAGTTTAATACGTATGTCCAGTGCACGCTGAAGAGATTGAAGAGCTGCTTTGTAATCATCTATTTGGGTTATTCCCATTTCGTAGTAACAGTCAGCAGTACTTTGGTGTTCTTCTCCAAACAGTTTAATACGTATGCCAAGTGCGCGCTGTTGAGAATGATGAGCCGTTTTGAAATCACCTAGTTTACGCTGTGTTATCCCCAGTGAGTAGTAACAGTTGGCAGTACTTTGGTGTTCTTCTCCAAACAGTTTAATACGTATGCCGAGCGCAAGCTGGTGAGATTGAAGAGCTGCTTTGACATCACCTTGTTCACACTGCGTTTTCCCCAGTTCGTAGTAACAGTCAGCAGTACTTTGGTGTTCTTCTCCAACGACTTTAACACGTATGCCCAACGCACGCCATTGATTTTGAAGAGCTGTTTTGAAAGCACCTAGTTCACGCTGTGTAATCCCCAGTGAGTAGTAACAGTCAGCAGTACTTTGGTGTTTTTCTCCAAACAGATTTACACGTTTTTCCAGCGAACGCTGATAAGATTGAAGAGCCGCTTTGAAATCACCTTGTTCATGCTGCGTTATTCCCATTTGGTAGTAACAGTCAGCAGTACTTTGATGTTCTTCTCCAAACAGTTTAATACGTATGCCAAGTGCACGCTGTTGAGAATGATGAGCTGCTTTGAAATCTTTTAGTTCACGCTTTGTAATCCCCAGTGAGTAGTAACAGTCAGCAGTACTTTGGTGTTCTTCTCCAAACAGTTTAATACGTTTGTCCAGCGCACACTGAAGAGATTGAAGAGCTGCTATGAAATCACCTAGTTCACGCTGTGTTATCCCCAGTGAGTAGTAACAGTCAGCAGTACTTTGGTGTTCTTCTCCAAACAGTTTAATACGTATGTCCAGCGCACACTGAAGAGATTGAAGAGCTGCTTTGAAATCACCTGGTTCACGCTGTGTTATCCCCAGTGAGTAGTAACAGTCAGCAGTACTTTGGTGTTCTTCTCCAAACAGTTTAATACGGATGTCCAGCGCACGCTGAAGATATTGAAGAGCTGCTTTGTAATCATCTGTTTGGGTTATTCCCATTTCGTAGTAACAGTCACCAGTACTTTGGTGTTCTTCTCCAAACAGTTTAATACGTATGCCAAGTGCACGCTGTTGAGAATGATGAGCTGCTTTGAAATCACCTAGTTTACGCTGTGTTATCCCCATTGAGTAGTAACAATTAGCAGTACTTTGGTGTTCTTCTCCAAACAGTTTAATACGTATGTCCAGCGCATGCTGAAGAGATTGAAGAGCTGATTTGAAATCACCTAGTTCATGCTGTGTTATTCCCAGTGAGTGGTAACAGTCAGCAGTACTTTGGTGTTTTTCTCCAAACAGTTTTATACGTATTTCCAGCGAACGTTGATAAGATTGAAGAGCCGCTTTGAAATCACCTTGTTCATGCTGCGTTATTCCCATTTCGTAGTAACAGTCAGCAGTACTTTGATGTTCTTCTCCAAACAGTTTAATACGTATGCCAAGTGCACGCTGTTGAGAATGATGAGCTGCTTTGAAATCACCTAGTTTACGCTGTGTTATCCCCAGTGAGTAGTAACAGTCAGCAGTACTTTGGTGTTCTTCTCCAAACAGTTTAATACGTATGTCCAGCGCATGCTGAAAAGATTGAAGAGCTGCTTTGAAATCACCTAGTTCATGCTGTGTTATTCCCAGTGAGTGGTAACAGTCAGCAGTACTTTGGTGTTTTTCTCCAAGCAGTTGGATACGTATGTGTAGCGCGTGCTGGAACGATTGGAGAGCTGCTTTGAAATCTTTTAGTTCCTGCATCGTCATCCCCAGTGAGTAGTAACAGTTGGCAGTACTTTGGTGTTCTTCTCCAAACAGTTTAATACGTATTTCCAGTGCACGCTGGTGAGATTGAAGTGCTGCTTTAAAATCACCTAGTTCATGCTGTGTTACGCCCAGTAAGTAGTAACAGTCAGCAGTACTACGGTGATCTTCTCCAAACAGTTTAATACGTATGTCCAGCGCACACTGAAGAGATGGAAAAGCTGCTTTGAAATCACCTCGTTTATGCTGTGTTATCCCCAGTGAGTAGTAACAGTCAGCAGTCTTTTGGTGTTCTTCCCCAAAACGTTTAATACGTATGTCCAGTGCACGCCAGAGAGTTTGAAGAGCCGCTTCAAAATCACCCAGTTCACGCTGTGTTTTCCCCAGTTCGTAGTAACCGTCAGCAGTACTTTGGTGATCTTCTCCAAACAGTTTAATACATATGTCCAGCGCACGCTGGTGAGATTGAAGAGCTGCTTTGAAATCACCTAGTTTACGCTGTGTTATCCCCAGTGAGAAGTAACAGTCAGCAGTACTTTGGTGTTCTTCTCCAGACAGTTTAATACGTATGTTCAGCACACGCTGGTGAGATTGACGAGCTGCTTCGAAATCACCTAGTTTGCGCTGTGTTAATCCCAGTTCGCGGTAACAGTCAGCAGTACTTTGATGTTCTTCTCCAAACAGTTTAATACGTATTTCCAGTGCACGCTTGTGAGGTTTAAGAGCTGATTTAAAATCACCTAGTTCACGTTGTGATATCCCCAGTGAGAAGTAACAGTTAGCAGTACTTTGGTGTTCTTCTCCAAAGAGTTTAATACGTATGTCCAGCGCACGCTGAAGAGATTGAAGAGCTGCTTTGAAATCACCTAGTTCACTCTGTGTTATCCCCAGTGAGTAGTAACAGTCAGCAGTACTTTGGTGTTCTTCCCCAAACAGTTGGAAACGTATGTCAAGCGCGTGCTGGAACGATTGGAGAGCTGCTTTGAAATCTTTTAGTTCATGCAGCGTCATCCCCAGTGAGTAGTAACAGCTGGCAGTACTTTGCTTTTCTTCTCCAAACAGTTTAATACGTATTTCCAGTGCAGGCTGTTTTGACTGCAGAGCTGCTTTAAAATCATTTAGTTCGTGCTGTGTTATCCCTTGTGAGTAGTAACAGTCAGCAGTACTTCGGCTATCTTCTCCAAACAGTTTAATACGTATGCCGAGCTCAAGCTGGTGAGATTGAAGGGCCGCTTTGAAATTACGTAGTTCACGCTGTGTTATCCCCAGTGAGTAGTAACAGTCAGCAGTACTTTGGTGTTCTTCTCCAAACAGTTTAATACGTACGTCAAGCGCGTGCTGGAACGATTGGAGAGCTGCTTTGAAATCACCTTGGTCATGCTGTGTAATCCCCAAAAAGTGGTAACAGTCAGCAGTACTTTGGTGTTCTTCTCCAAACAGTTTTATACGTATGTGCAGCGCACGCTGGTAAGATTGAAGAGCTGCTTTTAAATCACTTAGGATATGCTGTATTATCCCCAGTGAGTGGTAACAGTCAGCAGTACTTTGATGTTCTTCTCCAAACAGTTTAATACGTATGTCCAGCGCACGGTGAAGAGATTGAAGAGCTGCTTTGAAATTATCTATTTGGGTTATTCCCATTTCGTAGTAACAGTCAGCAGTACTTTGGTGCTCTTCTCCAAACAGTTTAATACGTATGCCAAGTGCGCGCTGTTGAGAATGATGAGCTGCTTTGAAATCACCTAGTTTACGCTGTGTTATCCCCAGTGAGTAGTAACAGTTAGCAGTACTTTGGTGTTCTTCTCCATACAGTTGAAAACGTATGCCCAACGCAAGCCAGTGATTTTGAAGAGCTGCTTTGACATCACCTTGTTCACACTGCGTTTTCCCCAGTTCGTAGTAACAGTCAGCAGTACTTTGGTGTTTTTCTCCAAAGACTTTAACATATATGCCCAACGCACGCCATTGATTTTGAAGAGCTACTTTGAAATCACCTAGTTCACGCTGTGTTATCCCCAGTGAGTAGTAACAGTCAGCAGTACTTTGGTGTTTTTCTCCGAACAGTTTTATACGTATTTCCAGCGAACGCTGATAAGATTGAAGAGCCGCTTTGAAATCACCTTGTTCATGCTGCGTTATTCCCATTTCGTAGTAACAGTCAGCAGTACTTGGATGTTCTTCTCCAAACACTATATTAAGTATGTCCAGTGCACACTGATAAGATTGCAGAGCTGATTGAAAATCCTGTTTCTTACGCTTCTCGACTGCGAGTGTATAAAGGTTTTTAGCTTCACCAGCTTGATTCTTTACAAAAAGATTGCCAGGCTGAGTTGATTCGCGTACTGATTTTGTGATATCTTAAAAGAGAAAAGAAAAGGCAAGAATCAGATATTTGATTGCTATGGTAAAGTTGAGCCATTGAGAGTCTTAGTCTGATTGATTAATTTATGGTGTCTATGGCCAAAAAAGGGTTCTTTAGCCTTCGAAAAGATTTAAAGGCTTCATACTGAGTAGCCGGAAGGTTAACTTGACCACAAACGTTCTTTTTAATGAAATTCAACATTGGTTAACATTGTTCTTAATGATTCTTCTTTACGTCCAGGCCTATTGGCATTTACCGAAAAATGGGTCATTAACTATACGTTTGGGGAAAACGGAATTCAAAGTTGGTTTTCAAATAACTATCGCTGCGTAAACAAGCCACGTGGTGTGTCACGTGACCAATTTTTAAAAAATCTTACGGTACATGTATATTAAGAAAAGAAATTTAAATAATGATATTTTTCTGATTTATATTAAATATTTCGAACTCTTCAAGTTTAAAATGATTGTCCAGTTCATTTCGTTTTCCAAGGCCTTTATGTAAACTTCCAGTGCACTCATGCCAAATATAAAATATGATTATTCTAACAAAACTGGATGCAAGGCTGGCAATACCGCAAAGGGCTGATTTATTTGAGGCCAATATTTCGGCTAACAAAATTAGCCTTCGACAGGGCCAGAGCTACACTGGCAGTGAGTACTATAACGGCTCTTAAAATTTGAATTTAAATTGACATGAGAGGTTTATGATAAACCAAAAATGAGAGCAATAAGTTGCGTGATAGATAGGTAATAATTACACAGTAGAGTATTGATAAGGTACGGTTCAACGTTCGTCCTTTATTATTCTCTTATATCAGAAACGATAATTTATGCACATTTCTCGCTCACACTTTTTAACTCACCTTCTTTCCACACAGACAAAGTAGTGTCTTCTTTGTTATCACTAGTACCTTGTACAGTTTTGATTTCATCTATTTTGCGAGCCAACATGGCGACGTCTTCTTTGGTAGCAACATCACCTTCAAGAAACTTTCTGTAAGATGTATTTTCTTCCTTGATACCCTGCTCAAGTCTGCGGACTTCTTTTATGGGAAAATCTGACTCTGATAAACTACCAACAGCATCAACCAAAGCTGTCGAGAAACCCAGCGCTTGGAACGCGTCTTTGGCGTGTTTCACGTACTGGTCAAAGGTTACTCTTGTCATGTCAGAACTTTTTAAGTGGCAAAACGAATTCCTCAGAAGGCGTAACTGATCAATTGCTAGTGCACAGGTTTCCGCATTGTTTCCAGTTGTGCTCTCTACGGACGGATGAAAATGACCATGTGATATTCCACGGGGCTTAACATACACGTCATTTAGCGTTCCGTGATGTACGGCGAACACTCGCGAATAGATAGTGGCCTGGAACAAAGCAGTGCAATCCCATTCCTCATACGATTGATCAACGGGAACTTTGGTGCTGCCACCTTCTGTAGCGGCAAACAAATTTCTCACGGCAGTGGAATCGTCCCAGAGCTGGAAGCCAGGGCGATGTCCATAGGTGTTGTCCCACATGGTTTTAAATGTCTGTCTCAGGGCTTTTGGAAATTCATTCAACACAAGAGACGCGAATTTGAAAAAATTTAAATCTTCGTCTCGGTAAGGCTGCAGGGCCATCCCAACGTAGAGTTAAATTTGCTGTTAAAATAAAAAAACAATCTTAGTAGTGTTGGCCTCCTGTCTTAGTTCACAAAAATTTATAGTTGCTAAAATATCTTTCCTTTTATTCTGGAAACCTTTTCCTTGAATCCCTTGATCAATTTTAGTAATTCAGATCGAATTTTAAGAGCCTGATTTGGTGAGGCAGCTGCCTGCATTTTTTTCTTTTTGCTGAAAAGCCAGGAAGGTTTAAGTGTCGTCTATAAAATCTGATAGCCCTGCCATTTGACAGCGTTAACTAGTGTAAATGAACATATGATCGTCGCAGTGGTAATTGCAATTTAAGCAATTGCAAAATAATTAACCCGAAAAACAATTTCGGGACTTCAACGGGATTCGGACCATCGCCTCGGCGTTAGCGCTGCAGTGCTCCACCAATTGAACTAATATATAGATTTAGCCAGGGCTAAAAGCGGGGCTCCCATTAATAAATTTATAATTTAAATCAAACAATAAACTTGTATTCCACAATTCAGTTAACTTTAGAGCACATTCGTGTGACTTTTCAGGGAAAGGCTAAGTGATTTTACAAAAAATAATTTGCAAACAGCCCAAGAGTGAACCAAATCTCACATCGAGTTGATAACCTCATAAGTACACCCAAAAACTGGCAATCATCTTCGATCACATTAAGAGCCATAATAGCTCTTGATCACCGTAGATTAATTAGGCNACTTCCAGTGCACTCATGCCAAATATAAAATATGATTATTCTAACAAAACTGGATGCAAGGCTGGCAATACCGCAAAGGGCTGATTTATTTGAGGCCAATATTTCGGCTAACAAAATTAGCCTTCGACAGGGCCAGAGCTACACTGGCAGTGAGTACTATAACGGCTCTTAAAATTTGAATTTAAATTGACATGAGAGGTTTATGATAAACCAAAAATGAGAGCAATAAGTTGCGTGATAGATAGGTAATAATTACACAGTAGAGTATTGATAAGGTACGGTTCAACGTTCGTCCTTTATTATTCTCTTATATCAGAAACGATAATTTATGCACATTTCTCGCTCACACTTTTTAACTCACCTTCTTTCCACACAGACAAAGTAGTGTCTTCTTTGTTATCACTAGTACCTTGTACAGTTTTGATTTCATCTATTTTGCGAGCCAACATGGCGACGTCTTCTTTGGTAGCAACATCACCTTCAAGAAACTTTCTGTAAGATGTATTTTCTTCCTTGATACCCTGCTCAAGTCTGCGGACTTCTTTTATGGGAAAATCTGACTCTGATAAACTACCAACAGCATCAACCAAAGCTGTCGAGAAACCCAGCGCTTGGAACGCGTCTTTGGCGTGTTTCACGTACTGGTCAAAGGTTACTCTTGTCATGTCAGAACTTTTTAAGTGGCAAAACGAATTCCTCAGAAGGCGTAACTGATCAATTGCTAGTGCACAGGTTTCCGCATTGTTTCCAGTTGTGCTCTCTACGGACGGATGAAAATGACCATGTGATATTCCACGGGGCTTAACATACACGTCATTTAGCGTTCCGTGATGTACGGCGAACACTCGCGAATAGATAGTGGCCTGGAACAAAGCAGTGCAATCCCATTCCTCATACGATTGATCAACGGGAACTTTGGTGCTGCCACCTTCTGTAGCGGCAAACAAATTTCTCACGGCAGTGGAATCGTCCCAGAGCTGGAAGCCAGGGCGATGTCCATAGGTGTTGTCCCACATGGTTTTAAATGTCTGTCTCAGGGCTTTTGGAAATTCATTCAACACAAGAGACGCGAATTTGAAAAAATTTAAATCTTCGTCTCGGTAAGGCTGCAGGGCCATCCCAACGTAGAGTTAAATTTGCTGTTAAAATAAAAAAACAATCTTAGTAGTGTTGGCCTCCTGTCTTAGTTCACAAAAATTTATAGTTGCTAAAATATCTTTCCTTTTATTCTGGAAACCTTTTCCTTGAATCCCTTGATCAATTTTAGTAATTCAGATCGAATTTTAAGAGCCTGATTTGGTGAGGCAGCTGCCTGCATTTTTTTCTTTTTGCTGAAAAGCCAGGAAGGTTTAAGTGTCGTCTATAAAATCTGATAGCCCTGCCATTTGACAGCGTTAACTAGTGTAAATGAACATATGATCGTCGCAGTGGTAATTGCAATTTAAGCAATTGCAAAATAATTAACCCGAAAAACAATTTCGGGACTTCAACGGGATTCGGACCATCGCCTCGGCGTTAGCGCTGCAGTGCTCCACCAATTGAACTAATATATAGATTTAGCCAGGGCTAAAAGCGGGGCTCCCATTAATAAATTTATAATTTAAATCAAACAATAAACTTGTATTCCACAATTCAGTTAACTTTAGAGCACATTCGTGTGACTTTTCAGGGAAAGGCTAAGTGATTTTACAAAAAATAATTTGCAAACAGCCCAAGAGTGAACCAAATCTCACATCGAGTTGATAACCTCATAAGTACACCCAAAAACTGGCAATCATCTTCGATCACATTAAGAGCCATAATAGCTCTTGATCACCGTAGATTAATTAGGCCTGGAAAAAAAAAAAACGGCCGAATTTTTTGCGTTCGACAAGTTTATTTTACAAAATCTTGCCAACAAATCTGGGTGCGTGTAAACCAACCTTTTATATCATTTATGCATCACATCTGAGGTGAAACAGTACTATGAGGCACTGTTTTTATCATACAGACCTCGGACAACAGAATGCAGTATTTCACGATATTGCGATACAAATTGCTATTCAGGACGATCGAAGCACGCGTGGGCCTTAGCCGTAAACCGTTGAAAAAATTTTCAAAATCATCTATACGGCCAGCCGGTTCTGACTTTGACAGTGCTAGCAGTGGCGAGTGTTTGAATGAACATTAACAGAGTTACGCTCCAACATAATAAAGAATTTATTATGTTTATTTTTTATTTCAAAACGGTTTAACGCGCGGCATTTTGAGTACTCCAGGAAGCGTTGTTTACTGAACGACTGAAAACAATCGGCACAATGATTAAAATTACAAGAGAGAGTACTAACAATCAATAAAAGAAATATAATTCGGTGAAACATATACAGAGACGACAATTTTCATTCAGGAAGACAGGACCCTAGGAAGACCCTCAGGAAAACATTTTCTGGCCAATCAGAAGCGAGCAATTCAAACGCTTCCGGAACTGGTTCGGTAACAGTAAGTGCTCAGGGGCTCGTCTCGATCTTACAGTAAACTTTCACCACGAACATTTTATCGACCCGATTAACTGCCCCTGGGTCTCCGAGGATGGCATTAAGCAAGATGAAAACGAAAACGATGCCATCCGAAATCGGATTTCCGACTTTGACTCAACCAAAAACCCAATAAACAATCTAGCCATGAATAACAGAAGACTCCTGATAGCAGCTGAATTTCATTTTGTACTTCCAGTGGAAAAAGAAAGTTAAAAACATCACAAGTTGACACAAAACTCTGTCAGCTTAAGCTGTCAGAGTAAACAAGATTCAAGATGCTGCATAAATTTTCCGCATGAACTCACCTGTCAAATTTTGACCAATCAGAGCATAAAAATTGGACGTAGAGCGTGACCAACGCGTGAACATGGCGAGAAAAGTCAAAAGCAACTGTCTTCCCTGCCTGTAGCAGCTGGCCGAATTTTCGCGTCCGAGGTCAGTTTGAAATCAAAATTTTAATTGTGCGGCACATAAACACAACATATTTCATATGAATTAAAAAAAAATTAAACCTGAGCCTGCGATCATTTGAAAACCAGTACCTTGTAAGTGGATAACTTCAAAAAAACACTTGACCTCGATGGGTCGACACCTGAGCCCGCGATACAGTCAAGTGATACTGGTCAGCGGATACCTTGTTTTGACAGCTGTCAATGGATCACAACATTGACGTGTATCAGTTTTCCTGTGCTCCGATCCCAAACTAGCTAGAAAGTATGACACTGAACATTGATCGCGATCTAGTAAAATAATTAACTGGTCAGCAAACAGCTTCCAAATAAATCACGTCACCTCAATGAGTTGACACATGAGCCCGCGATATGGTCATGGGATACTGGTCAGTGGCTATCCTGTTTTGACAGCTGTCAATTGACCATAATATGGTATTATTGTGAATGTCCAATGTAAAAGATGTGGACTTGGGAAGACACGCCTGAGACACCCCTCCCTTCCTTTTGATAGTTTCCCCTACCCCACCCGTACAATCCGTAGACGCGTACGTACGTACGCTCGGTCAATCGCGTGACAACCAAAGGAAAAGAGGTTGACCATAATCTATGGGTATGGGGCTCTGTACCACGCGCGCTTCGCGCGCGTGGGAGCCCCGCTATGAAGACCCATACATTGGCGACAGGCCACTTTATTCAGTACATCTTAACCCGTAAAAGGAATGAAACAAGAAGATGATGTGAACTGCAGAACACAAATTTAAATGAAGTTATGATTGTAGCAGTGGTAATTGAAATTTAACCGTTACGGCTGGAGTTAATTTGCAATTACCGTATTTATTCGATTGACTGCCCTGGGCGCTTTTTAAATTTTTGGACCTTGATAGTGGGCGCTTATTCGAGGTGGGCGCTTATTCGAGGCTGGGTGCTTATTAAATTTTCGCCATTCTCAGCAAGTATGTTTATTTTGCTACAAAATAATAAATGGTAATAACAAAAAGCGAAGAAGTAACAAAGCAAGGTTTCTGTAAAATACTCTGAAGAAAACTCCGTCTTCGGGAGGGTCTCTTATTATGTCTTATTTGAGTTTGTGTGGGAGGGAGTGGGGTGGGTGGGCGCTTATTCGAGGCTGGGCACTTATTAACTTTTTCTGCCTTTGGGATGGGCGCTTATTCGAGGTGGGCGCTAATTCGAGGTTGGGCGCTTATTCGAATAAATGCGGTAATTAAATTGCAATTACCACTGCGACGCTCATATCTTCATTTATATTTGTATTGTAGCAGTTCACATCATCTTCATGACACATAACTGATTTTTTTC